TTTTTTTTTCCCCTAATTGTCCTTTTGTTTTCCCTACCTGCTCTTACTGAAAAGAAAGAATACGCATGGATTGCTTTGAGGTTGAAATGAACTGAAGACAACACACGTTTTGTAACGTTCAGCTTTATTTTCTGTTTGATATCGTGTTCTGTTTTTTAATGAGGAAAGAGGGGAAGCTGTGTGACAAGCATAAGGAGGCAGTCAGTCTGTACTCAGTGGTACAAAGCATATCTTCCTCACACTGGAAGTACATGGATTAGCCCGTAGATGTGCAATAAGATCCTTGGAATACATACCTCTGATAATGTATCTTATTCACCTGAGAATTGTTTAACAGAATATGGTTTCACTATAATGTAACTAATGCATATGTAATTAATGATCATTTAAGCTGAACATATCATCCTATAGAAGTTTTGATTTCCTAAATCTGACCCATCGGTCTCTCAACTTAACTGGAATTGTTTTATTTAATGTACAATAAACATGAAGTGTTTAAGATGTATTAAGTTCTTGTTTACTTTTTTTCTGTCTCATTTTACCACATTTCTTTTCACTTTATTTCCACTTACAATAAAGCAGGAACTTGTGCCCACCACATGGAGTGGGAAACAGTATCAGCAGTCACCTACCACATTGGGCTTACACCTTAAGATACATGACACAGAATGTGAGTGGAGATAAATGCTACAGATACATGCAATTTTTAATCTATGTGTTTTCAATATTTTAAATGTGATAAATGTCAACCACAATGGCTTCCACTGTTCTGGATCCACTCCCCTTCCCCTGTAATTCATGGAGCTCTTGTAGCTATCACATCAGAAAAGGGACTCAGGCCTAGCAGTGGTGAGTTCACTGTGCGTGGCAAAAGTGCCTGAGAAGGTAGAGTGGCTACATTTCTTCTCCAACTCCAGCATCAAGCATCAATCCATCCAAGTTCTTTCTCTCTCTCTCTCTCTTCAGGGAGAGGGGGCGATTGTCCCTCAGTCTCCAGAAAACCCTGAAGCATGTGAGACACAAGGTCACACATACTTTGGCCAGGTTGTCAGTTCCCTATTGCCCTGTCATTTATTTACCAGTTCTCACTCTGGCTGTACAAATAGGGCAGGTTATCTGTTCACTGGCTAATGGCTGATCTCCAATTAGGGTTTATAAAGATAAAGGCCTACTTAGACCAGTAGTACATCACAAGATGTTTATTTGATGTCAGTGCATTTTCAAACATTCAGCAGTCAGTAATTATGCAATAATAAAAGAATGTGTAACTCTGAACTGCCACAGCTGAAGTGTTTTTACAGTTGTGCTCCCACTTTTTTGCTTTGGGGATCTGAGTGCATTTTCTCATGTTGTTCTGTGAATCTTACTCTCAGAGATAGATAGATAGATAGATAGATAGATAGATAGATAGATAGATAGATAGATAGATAGATAGATAGTTTTTCTTTTCTCCCTTCTTTTTAGCTTTGTGATTTCTTCTGTAGTGCTATCTGTGCAGGGAAGCAATTCTGCATTCCCAGTGATCCTGGACATGCCCCCACACCCCACCTGCATTTCACCCTGTTCCTGCCAAACTCAATCCTCTCCTACACATTCATTCACATCTACACATTAAAGAAAGCAACACATCTACTAGGAAGAGAATTTCATACAGGATTAATACTTTCTGTTTATTCTGTATCTCCCCAGTGAATTGAGATTCCCTCCATCTATTTTGAAGCACAGAAAGCTGCAGAACAAGGTCAGTTTGATTAAATGCCATGGAGGTTTAAGCATTCAAGCACATGGCCCTCATTTAAAGCAGTATCAGCCTGTTATGGTCAGCACCAAAAGCTAGTTGTTGGGAGTTTGTGCTTGTCAGTAAGAGTAAGAAGCACACAGCCATCTGCACTTTGTATGAATAATGTTTACAGCTTCAAGCTCACGTTTATCTGCCTCCTCAGTTCCGATATCCCACACATAATAACCTGGAAGCCAGCACAACCTCAGCTTCTGCGGGCTCTCCGTGGATGGAATTAGCTACTCTAATTTCTCCCAGATGCCAGCATTGTTAAACGACAAGCTGAACTAAGCTCCTTTTCCCTGTGTGAACAGTAAGCGCTGTACTCAGATGCCCCCAATTCCTCCCCCCCGCGCTGCCCAGCATTTGCCACTGTTTGTCCCTGGGGCTGGGGATGTACCACGCCGGCAGGAAGGGCATCAGGCCGTGGGTAGGGCATTAATGTGCTCTAAATTCAGACTACACCGAGCAGCCACCACGCTGGATTAAGAGTTAAGTGACTGTCGGAGAAATGACTGGAAGGCGTGGGGCAGGGCGGGGATTTCTAGAGATTTAAAACATGCCGTAGAACTTTATCTAGAGAATGATAGAAGGCAAAGTTTTGACTTATGACAATTTGCTCTATGGGGTTCTCCAGGGGTGGTGTTTGGTGAATGTAATAGTGACCAAACGCACAGAGTTAGGAAAACACTAATGAAATCTGCAATTAATACCAGTTTAGGAAAACAAAGAGGTACCAAAGACAGCAACTGCAGGAAAAGAAATTTAGAAGGAATAGAAGCTGGAGAAGATCATGCTGTAGAAAATGTGACACAATGCTCCAAAGAAATTTCTCCAAAGTCACAGGGATTCCCAGGTAATTAGTGAACCTGAAATAGACCTAGAAGTAACAGAGGACAGCAAATACATGTAAACACACATAGATAGACACACAAAGATTAATCAAAATTACTTTATATTTTTTTCATTTATTTTCAATGAAGCCAGAGGAAAATAGTTGGTCTTCTTTTGGCTTCTATTTGTTTGGGTTTTTTTTGCACATGGAAGGTTATTTGGCATATAAATGTAGAAATACAGCTCTGTTCTCAAATTGGTATATGTGGAGATTGATACAGGCACTGCAGTTACCCATTTGCATTGAAAGGGCACAGCTACTGCAAGCACATTTTTCCCTTACTGAAAACAATCTCACAAATATAAAGGAGAGAAAGAAAAAAGAGACAATTTTTAAAATATTATTTAAACTAGGATATACTGTTAATTAGGTCTTTATGGAAAGTCAGAAATTTTAAAAAGTATTCCTTTTATAAGAAATATTTCAAGTTTCTTGAACTTTCTTTTAGGGGGAAAAATAAAAGTGTAATATTGGTACCCTTTAAAGACCATTGTGAAGGGACCCTTACTTTATGAAAGTCTTTTGTTGCATTTTGAGATTCTGGAGCAAAAGGCATTCTAATTTAAGCACAGTGTACTTACTGTTACTTGACTTTCATGTCCTGCTTTCCTGACTGACAAGTAAAGCTGCTGCTTTGGAAGCAAAACTGTATCCTGAATGCTGAGGAAGCTCTGGAAGACTAAACACGCTGGACTTAAAATTCTGTGTTCTCTAAATCTATGCTTTGTTGCTGAATACTTTTGAAATTAAAAAAAAAACCCTCCTCAAGCCCAGTGATAAATTCAGTAGGGAATCTGTTTCTTCCTTTAATGTGGCCCTTGCTTTTTATGCCAATTATTTTCCCCTCCACTTCTTTTCCTAGTTCCTCTTTTTTTCTTCCAGGTATCCAAAGAACATGAGCAATCTCTCCATAAATACAAGTTCTATTATGCTCATTGACCACAATGATGCACAGGATATTAAACTAAACAGAGTTTTACTTTCTTCCAAATGTTGTGATTCCAGTGGACTGGGGATCTGACTGGCTGTGAATCTGTCAGATTTCCCTTTTGCCATTCTCTAGCTGGCTGTAACTGAACCTTTCTTTACTATATTATATGTTACCTTCTTTTTTCCTAGCAGTTCCTATCCGCTCTGCTTTGGCCTCTAATGACCACTGCTGCATCATACTGTTTTTAGTGATCCGTAAATTAAATCAGCTGATGAATGTACATAGCACATTGTGGGATTTGGAAACCACCATATTTAACAAGTGTCAAGCATCCCTGACTCTTGCAGTAGAGAAACCTACTCAAACACGTAATACCTTTATCAGTTGAAGTGGATCAGCTCGCTTTGAATAACAGGAAGCGACTCTGTCCAGGAAATTGTAGTATCTGGACAGAAAGCTGCACCCTCTGGCTCACAGTGGAGCAACTTAAAAAAAGAATTTCCAATACGAAGAAGATGCCATTGCAGGTTGTATTTTTCACTTTCTACTTCAGCTACACAGCTTTTCCTTGGCCTCACTCAGAAACCACACACCTTCCCAGAAATTCAGGGATACATCTAAAATCCTTCACATGACCAATTCAAATAATTTGATGTACCACGATTTCTTTAAAGGCACAGTTGTTCTGAAGCACCCTCTCCAAGCAAGGCAAGGAGGCGAAGTAAGTCCTGTGTAACACCGTGTACAGGTGCTCCGGAGACCAGAACTGCCCAGGCAACGGGTCTCCTCCGGGTTGTGGAGGGATCCTTGGGTGACAGCGTGGGGTCACCTCCCTGCAGGCACGGCTGCCCCGTCCTGCTGGCCGCAAGGAGGTAACCTGCTGCTCAAACCCTGCCTTTATGTTTTGCTTCAGCAAAAATCCTTCTGGCCACCTGCTGCGTGCACCCCCGCTGCGGCCACTACCTGCGTGATAAAACTTGCGATAGGGAAATCAGCCGAACAAGGCAAATCCCGGCTGCGAGCGGCACTCACTCACCCCGCGGAGACGAGAGGTGCGCGCTCGGCCGCAGCTCCCCGGGCCAGCCCCGGCCCCGACCGCCCGCGGCCTGCGGAGGCGGCGGGACGGGCCCTGCCAGGCTCACCCCTGCCACGACCGAGGGCTTCCCCAACCAGGGCACCCCCAACCCCTCACGACGAGGCGGGGCCGGAGGAGCCGTGCCCGCTAAGGGGCTGGGGCCAGGAGGATGTCGTGTATTCGGGGCGAAGGAGCCAAAGCCGGGTCGAGGACGAGGGCGTTCGCCGCGCGTTGGCCGAGGCGGGGGCGGCCGTTCCCCTCCGCCCAAGCCGCTGTTGGGCGTCGGCCTCTTCCGCCGCTGCCCTCGGCTCGGCTCAGCCCCGCCCCGAGCGGCGGCGGCGGCTCCTTGACCCCGGTGCTGTCCGTCCCGGTGGTGCGGGCATGGTCGTGTCCTGGGCGCTGCCCGCGCCCCTCAGCCCGGCGCAGCTGAAGCGCCTGGAGGAGCACCGCTACAGCGCGGCCGGGCACTCGCTGCTGGAGCCGTGGCTGCAGCCCTACTGGTGCTGGCTGGTGGAGCAGGTCCCGCGGGGGCTGGCGCCCAACGCCATCACCATGGGCGGCCTCCTG